CTGTTTTCTCAAAATTGCTGCAGCTATTCATGGTCTTTTTTGTTGCATATAAAGTTTTGGAGTATTTGTTTTAGATCTTTGAAATATGCCATTGGTATTTTAATATGAATTGCATTAAATCTGTAGATTGCTTTGGACAGTATGGAGATTTTAATAAAGTTGATTCTACCAATCCATGAACATGGTATATTCGTCCACTTGTTTATATATTCCTCTATCGCTTTTTTCTTTTTTTAAAAGTTATTTATTTTTTATTGTCTAAAGTTTTACATATGTCTTCTTTTTCCCCAATTGACCTCCCCCCACCCCAGCCATTCCCACCCTGGGGATGCCACCACCACCACAGTGTCTGTGTCCATTGGTTATACTAATATGCCTGCATACAAGTCCATTGGTTGCTCTCTAACCCCCCTCCCCTACAATTTGTTTATAAATCTATTCTTGTTCATCAAATTATGTTGATCATTATACCCCACATATGAGTGAGATCATGGGATATTTATCTTTCTCTGCAACAAACCTGAACCAGCTACCTGCCGGCTCTTTATTACAATACCCCTCATTTAATTAAACCATGGATTTCTATCAGGTGTGGCCACATGCAAACTAGTCAAAACAACTTGCTGTTCCCCCATTTTTCTTGTCAACCTGTCTAGTTCCACTCCCTGACCTCAACATTTTTTTGTTGGTATTTTTATTGGTATTGCATTATATTTAGAAATTGATTTATGGGCAATTGATTTTTTTTATGATGTTGAGCCTTCTTCAAGCATATGGTATATGTCTTCATTTGTTCTAGTCTTTTTGCCTTGAGTAGGATTTAAAAGTTTTTGTCATATAATTTTGCATATTGTACTACAATTGCCATTTATTTTTGTTTGCCTCATAATAATTGATGCAAGGGGGGAACAGATATTTTTCTGAAACCCCCCAAAACCTGAAAAAGATTTTTAATATCATTTGAGTTATGATAAAAATCAGTCAATGCAGTTAGTGGATTAAATATTCCAAGGTCAACTAGTAAATTAAAATTCACTTTACTATAACAAAAATGAGTACATTCTTATTTTATATATCAAACAAACAAAGATTACATGTTCAAGATTAAGACTGCCATAGATTAGTGAGGCAGAAACTCCTGAGAAAGTTTTTCGTAAACACAAATTCACTTTTACAAAACCTGGAAAAAAAAGTATATTTACCTAATCTGGATTTATCTTTATATTTGTAATATCTTTAAGGTATCTACTTTATAATTATTCTCCAGCCTTCTTTACCTTTACGATTATAAATATAATCTCAAAGCCCTTGGTCAATATTTCAGAATGCCTTCGTAATGCAACTTAAAGTTTGGGAGACACGAACATTAAACCACGAATACTACACAAATAAATAGGTAATGCACACTGTAGTGAAAAATGCTGGATGAATAAGTGTGAGCAAATAATATGAGGTCAGAGGAAAAAACGGTTTAAATAGTTTAAATAAGCAGCGATAAATTAAGGAACGCAATGCAAAGTTCACATGACTTTCTCTTATGGGGTGTGTATGTTGTGGGGAAGCCACCAAAGCAAAATAGCGAATCTTCCAAGTAATTGAGCCCCGCCGGCCGGCCACCTCTCAGGCCAGTCTCCCTGCAGCCCATTGCTCCAGCCGGGGAAGTTCTTTGGCGAAAAGGACGCTTTTGTGGACAGGCTGAGAGATGTACGGACTGAACCTCTTTGAGTGTCTACCTTACTCAGGTGATTTTAAGAGGAAACAGGTCGGAAAGCTGTTGGCATCGTGCATGCAGCATAGTGACATTAATCCTGGTCCGGGGGACCCCAAGAAGCGAAGGAGGGCGGGTCCCCAGTGCAGTCATCCCTTCCCCCCCCCAACCTGGGCTGGAGAACCGCCGGAACCGCAGGCGCAGTCAGCCCCGCGCATGCTCTGTCGGCGGAGCACGCCCGTTCCTTCCCAGGTAGGAAGTCCTGCTTGTGTATTAAATTACGACAGCCGTAAACCGAGATTTTGCGACGGCTTACGAGCTTTACGACGTCAACAACGATGGCGGCTGCCGGAGGTGGGTTTGAAAGTGCGAGGAGTATCGAAGAGCGTAAGGAGCAGACCCGGATCGCCAGGGCCGAGGTGTTGCGCCAGGTATTTGGGTTTTGGGGCTTTTGGAACCATCTGAGTGGAGGGAATGGAGGTCTCTGGGAGCGAGGCCTGGCCCTCCCCCTACTCTACCTCCTCTCACCACCTCAGTGCCATCTATCTGGGCGGAAGGGGTTCTCTCTGTGGGACGCGCGAGCTTTTGGCATCTCCCGCGTCCTGGAAGCGCTGGCAGGTCCGGTTGCTCATGTTCTCTCCGGGAAGCCCTGTGTCTGTCATCTTGAGTGTCCTTCCCTTTTCGATGGTTCTTCTTGGACGTGTCTGGCGCCAGGGACCCCGCTGCTAGGGACCAGCCTCCCCGGCGCATTTCCCAGCCCCAGCCCTCGCTCCTGCTGTGAAACTAACATTCCCATTTTCAGGAACACATGCGAGACGCATTGGGGTAAATTGTGTTTGACCGTTTCATGCTGTCGCACTCTTGGTATCAGTTCCTGGCTGTCCTATACCCTTTTTGATCCGAGCGAGGGCTGACAGCAGAGACCCAGAAAACTTAGAGGAACACTGTATTTCTCATTCAGGTGGAGAGAACGGAGGCAGTGAATGGTATTGAATGATCTGAAAAGGGGTAAGAAGTGTGGCAATGAAGGGAAGAATGGAGGGGAGATCATCATAGAGCACAAGCGAGGGTTTTCATTTTTATTAGTTTGGAGATAGGAGGGTTTAAAGGGCTTCCAGTGCTGATGAGAAGGAGCAGGTAGAGGAGACAGGAAGAGAAGGCATAATGTCGACAGCCAGATTTGGAAAGGGGGGAAGAGTGGATGGTTAATCTTGGACAAGTGAAAGGCCAGTGTTCTTTGGTTTCAGCATATGTAACATGTACAAATTCTATACTAATAAGAGGTAATTTGCTAATTAGACCGGGAGACCTTCTGTAGGTCCTTCCGGACAAAGCCATGGTGGCAGGGCGAGGCAGAGGCAGTTAGGGGCGAGCAGGCTGGATCTGGGGGATGTTGGGGGCAGTTGGGGCAAGCAGGCTGGCAGGGGTGGGCAGTTAGGGGTGATCAGGCCGGAAGGGGGGCAGTTGGGGTTGATCAGGCCTGCAGGCAGAGTGGTTAGGGGCAATCAGGCAGGCAGGCAGGTGAGCAGTTAGGAACCAGCAGTCCCAGATTGTGAGAGGGATGTCCTACACCGGCAGTCAGACATCCCCCAAGGGGTCCCAGATTGGAGAGGGCACAGGCCAGGCTCTGGTATTTCAGACAGTTTTTGGAAGGAGTAGTGTTTGTAAGCTGTGATAAATTTTATAAGAGAGAGATACATAGAGGTTGAAAGTCCCCAGCTTTGGACTTTGGGGAGAGAATCAAAGGGCAGGAACAACCTTCCAGGAAGAACTTATTTTATTTGACTGTTGTTGAAGGATGAATAAAAATTAGCAATCTGATCACTTGTTTTTAGAAAGATGATTCTTCCTGAAGTACTTTGGGGTTGTGGCAAGAGGGTTATGGGCATTGCAGATACAGTAGAAGTTGGGAGGTCAGTCACTTAGTGACAGAAGTCTCAGGCAGTAGCACTTGGATGGTGAAGGGGAAAGAGGTGAGAGTCAGACTTTAGGTTGGGAGCTTAAGGAAAGGGAGGTCTAGAATAGGTCCCAGGAGTCTGTCTTTGATTGATGGCTCAATTCAGTAAAGATTGGTAATTTGATTGGTAATGTGGAAAGATACTTTTTTTACTAAAATCTTTGCTACATTTTGGTAGAAGCAAATTCCTGACAAGGGACAGTTGATTCATGAGAACATGTATGAAAGTGAGAGAAGATTTTGTTTTTATGAAAAGCAGTTGACTCTGTGTTAATCCCCCACTTTCCACTCCCCCTCCATCGTTTTAGGCTAAAGCCAATTTTGAGAAGGAAGAAAGGCGTAAAGAACTTAAACGACTTCGGGGTGAGGATACATGGATGCTACCTGATGTGAATGAGCGGATTGAACACTTCTCACAGGTGAATACTAACATGTAAACCTGTTACATGTCTGACTTTTTTTGCATTTACTCAAATTAATATTGGAGGAGCAGCTTTATAGACTATTTCAAAAGTTGCAGAATGAATAACACACAGTGGGCATTACAGAATAGTTTTATCTCTGGCAGAAGTATATTTTAATATTTTGGACATTATGACATTGGACAGATTTTGTTACTTGAATTGGCTGATAGAATGCTTAGCTTCAAATTTCTGACCCTCTTGTAGCAAGCTGATTCATTTTAAACTTAATTTCATGTGTTGTTGTTGTTGTTTTTTGTCTCAATACTTGTTTTCTCTTTCCATAATTTTAATTTATGCCATCTTGTTATATTTTAAATGGCCTAATAAACTTCTATAAATCCTTTGGAGCCATAGAAGGATATATGCATACATATGCATACATACATAGATATGTTTGTGTATATATGTTTATTTGATTATATCTGTCTGTGAAATGAATCTGCAAATAAATTAAAACTTCACTTATTTTTGATAAGATATCTCAGCTTTATGATTTATTAGTAGTGCATATATTATAGAAGCATGTTAAGGTTTCTTCGAATATTTTATTCATTTTGTCATGTTTCTTGTCTCATTTTCTGAAAACTTAAAGTTTTTTAGAACATAGAATTTTTTTCCCTTAAAATACTTCCCTTTAATAAAGGTAAGATAAAATTTAATTCCCTTCTTACTTTTTCAAAATGATTATTTATAGGAACACTCTGTGAAGAAAAAGAAGAAAAAAGACAAGCATTCAAAAAAAGTAAAGAAAGAGAAGAAAAAGAAGAGCAAGGAACAGAAGTATGAAAAAAACAATGAGTCATCTGATAGTTCATCAGTAAGTATATGCTAAAACTAATCAGGCATCTACTTGAGAAAATTTTCTTTAAAGAAATAATATATGGAAACTTAAAATATATGAGAACGTAAAAAAAATACTACTAGTAAGGATATGAAAATGCCTGGGAAACATCTACGTGGAAATGCTCAGGAGATAGAAAGATGAGACAAAGTCCAAAGCTGGGGACTTTCAACCTCTATGTATCTCTCTATTATAAAATTTATCACAGCTTACAAAGATGTTAAGAAGATGGAGATGAGGTTTGGAGTCACTGCTTATTGAAGCCATTAGAATAAATGAATTGCCTAGGGCGATGGTCGGCAAAGGGTGGCTCGCAAGCCACATGCGGCTTTTTGGCCCCTTCAGTGTGGCTCTTCTACAAAATACCACATGCAGGCGTGCACATACAGTGTGATTGAAACTTTGTGGCCCACGTGCAGAAGTTGGTATTTTGTGGAAGAGCCGGTAGTTTGTGGAAGAGCCACACTGAAGGGGCCAAAGAGCTGCATGTGGCTCGCGAGCTGCGGTTTGCTGAGCTGCGGTTTGCTGACCACTGGCCTAGGGAAACTGAAAAGATAGAAGAACAGCACTGAGGAGCCAAGAAGGGACACTCAGCAGAAGCGGTTGGAAAACTAGGAGAAGCAGGGGAGTACTGTACAAGTAAGGGAAGGAGTTCCGAGGCATTGAGAGTCTGTTATCCCTATTTGTTTTTTCATAGAAATTAATATTTAAGTCTTAAAAGTAGAATATGTTTATATATTTTCTTTGGGGCCAAAAGAAAGATAATGCTGGATCTACTCTGTCTCTAGCCAGTCCTGGGATGACAGAGAGGACTCAAAGGAAAGGAAAGCAGGCCAAACTCTTCACACTTATTTTCAGGAAGAAAGAGGTATATTGTGCTTACAGAGATCATTAGAGATGATTGATCTCTTAGGAATGATCTTCACAGGTTAAACTCTGAGGTGAATCACCGTATTTCAAAGTCTGGCCCTCTTGTAATTTCAGAAAGTCAATTTTTGGCAGTATACACTGAGATGAGAATCGGCTCATGAAATCCTATCTTACATGAGAATGAGGTACATTGCATAGTGAGAAATACAACTGAATAGTTTTGTCAAGTAGCCAGTATATCCTACGTAATAAAGAGCTAATATGCAAATGTTCGTCACACCTTCATGCCGTCACACCGTAACAGCTCAGACACTCAACACTGGGGAGAGAGGAAGGGGACCAGCCAGGCACAAATAAACTTGTGAGAGAGGAATGGGGACCAGCCAGGCACAAATGGGCTCGCAAGAGAGGAATGGGGACCAGCCAGGCTGTGGCCCTGGAGAGGGACAAGCCGCCCGCCCCGCGGTCCCAGGTGCCAGTGGTTGTGCCTGCGGCCTGGGAGAGAGACAAGCCACACTCCCTGGGTCCCGGGTGCCAGAGGCTGGGGCTGCGACTTGGGAGAGGGACAAGCTGCCTGCTTCGCGGTCCCAGGAGCCAGTGGCTGGGACTGCGGCCCAGGAGAGGGACAAGCTGCCGCCCCACAGTCCCCGGGTGCCTGTGGTTGCGGCCGGCCTGGGCGTGCATCTAAATAGATCAACACACCTTTGAAACGCTTCTTTTCAAACTCTCTTCTAAAGCCAACCACCCTCAAGACCAGTCTTAACTATTCTGTAATCCAATCCCATTCTTGTCTTCTCCCACCTTCATGTAATCTTCCTTACTCTCCAATGCATTAAAAAACCCTGCAAACTACCATTCTGGGAGTATCAACTCTTATAGGTTTGGATGTTTCTTTTTTTAAAAAATATATTTTATTGATTTTTTACAGAGAGGAAGGGAGAGAGATAGAGAGTTGGAAACATCGATCAGCTGCCTCCTGCACATCTCCTACTGGGGATGTGCCCGCAACCCAGGTACATGCCCTTGACCGGAATCGAACCTGGAACCTCCCAGTCCGCAGGG